TCTATATTAATACTATATTATTTTTATATAAATATAATATATATATTTATTATATATATATAATATTTATAATTTATAATATAAATATTTATATTTGTATAAATATAAATATAAAGATACTATATTATCTGTAGTATCTGGAGTACTAGTACAAGTATTCGAATAAAGCCCAGGCCCTGATACTGATACTTGTAGTTTTTTCATCGGTGATTTTGGCTCAGGAGGCAAAATGACAGGGAAAATATGAAAGTTATTTGATTCTCGTAACTGTTGCTTTAGGTTTTTGAGAAAAATATCCGATATTTTGTGGTATTTTTTTTTTCCATTTCTGCTCGTCTCATTATTACTCGGTTTGTGTTGATAGGAAGTCGGAGTTAAAAGTGAAAAATGTTCGTGTGGGTTTAACATCTGCCAACTCAATTAAATCCAGTAACGATGGAGGAAGAGTGGATGTGTGTGTGTGTATGTTTTTATTTGTGTGTTGTTTGTGGGGGTGGGGGAGGGTGTATTGGAAATTTTTTGCTTAGCTTTAATTTTTTTTTTTGCTCAGAGAATCAGAGCAGTGAATAAATCAGCGCTGTGCGTCAGTGAGAAATACCTCGCCTTACGGTGACGGGGCCAGGAAAACAGATGCCACTTATTCAATAAACTAATACTCATAGGGAAGAAAAATGTGGGCTGGATATAGACGGGGGTTGGGGGGGGGGAGTGGGTCGATGTCGAGCTGCCTGTCAATAGGAGGGTTTTAGGGGGGACGGAGGAGCAGATAAAATTCAGCTGAACAAGGCAAACTGAGTCCCAGAGCTTTGAACACAGGCTGTTCCTCAAGTTTGACTCCTGTTTATGAAACGCCAAAATCATCACTGTCTTTATAATCACTCTGTCCAGGGATGAGACTCTTTTTTTTTCTTTTTTTAAGGCTTTCTGCCCAAATGTCGATGACTCAAAAAGAGTTTTATGGCTTAACAACAGATGCTCAGGTCAGGGGGCGGGGTCCTTGTTTTGTACTTTACTATCAACATATATATGTATATATGTATATACATATATATATACATATTTGTATATATGTATGTACTGTATATATATTCAATTATATAAATTTGTACAACACTATATACAGTATATATAGTACATATATAGTGATATATATGTGTGCATATATACATATTTGTATATATATATAATTATATATGTGTATATACCTATATGTATATACATATACACATGTATTTGTGTGTAAATATATATATATACCTAGATACTGTATATATTTAAATATATAAATTTGTATATAACTGTATACAGTATATATATGGTGATATAAATATATATATATACATATATGTATATACATATATACATAAATATATGTATATTTATACATATATGTATATATATTTGTGTGTAAATATATATATGTACCTAGATACTGTATATATTTGAATATATAAATGTGTATATCACTATATAAGTATATATATAGTATATTTATAGTGATATAAATATATATATGTGTATATATATGTATATATGTATATATATATAATATATACATATACATAGTGATATAAATATATATGTATATATATATATATATGTATATATATGTGTATATATATATATATATATATAGAATATACAGTATATGGAAAATACCCCACACACCACCAACTCTTTGAAGTCTGTTTATTAGCTTTCTGAACTTTTCCTTCCTTTTTTTTCTCCTCTTGTGTCACTTCAACCAAATCCATCATCAAAAGTGTGGTTTGTTTATGTGCGCGGGCTTTAAAGAGCTCTCAGTGCGGTCCCGTGTGTGGCGCGTGGGAGCAGGACACTGTTTAAGTTGTGAGGCGGCCGTGAGTGATGAATCAGGGGAAACAATCTGAACATAAATGGACTGAATTTACATTTTATGGGTTTGATGCATTGCTAAAAAACAATGCGGCGTAAACCGCAGAAATGAGCTGTATTAATAACCGCTGCCTTAATGAGTGATGTGTTTACTGAGCCGCTGTTTACCACAGTCATTAGCGCTTTTAGACAAAGTCCAAGCATTTTCCGTCTGCGACGGTCGTGTCTCGGTCTGGGTCCCCCGTGGTGTTTACGGATAAGAAAACAATTACACTGGTATCAGGTAACAGAGTCGACGAACAACCTTCATCACTGACCGAGAAATTTAATACACACTCTGTCATTTATTTTTTGTGATGAATCGAAAACTGGATCTAAACAAGTCAAATCGCAGCGCTGCTAACTGCTAACTGCTAAAGCTAGTCTCATCACTGACAGAGAAATTTAATACACACTCTTATAGTAAGAAAAAAAATCATATTTTTTGTGATGAATCGAAAACTGGATCTAAACCAGTCAAATCGCAGCACTGCTAACTGCTAATTGCTAAAGTTAGTTTAATCACTGACAGAGAAATTTAATACACACTGTCATTTACTTTATAGTGAGAACAAAAAAAATTATATTTGTGATGAATAGAAAACTGGATCTAAACAAGTCAAATTGCAGCGCTGCTAACTGCTAAAGAAGAAGAAACTCTGTTGTTGCGTTGTGTGTTGACGCTAACTCCAAGCTGAGAAACTTCTCACAGCTTTGCTAATTCTTGTGTGCGAGGGGAACCGTTGGTGCGTTAAAGACTGATTGTCCGACACCGACACCGCACTCACGCTGAACAATAACACAGATGTGTGAGGCAGACGAGTGTGTGTGTGTGTGTGTTGAAAAATGACTTTTCTCTCTGTTTGTCAGTGAGTGGCTGCAGAAAGAAGCAGTAATGATCCTTCATTGTGATGGAGTGATTTTTCTTTTGTTTTGTGAACACATTTCAAATTCTTCAGTTTCCAAAACAATTTGTTAATAAATTCTAAGTGAGGTCCTGACACGTGTTCTCAACTGCAGTGAACTGATCAGATTTACTCCAAAGCAAAACCTGGAGACCAACAGTGACACCAGAAAAAAAACAGATTAATATTCTAAAATATATATATATTTTTTAAATTTTTGGTCTCTTTAGATCCTCAAAGAAAAAAAAGTTTAAGCAATATTTTTTTTACATTTATTTTGCTCCAATCACTTGGACTGGAATCACAAACAACAGCAAACACCATAGTTCACAGGTGTCAAACTCAGGCCCGCGGGCCAAATCTGACCTCTAGTGGTAATTACGTTTGGTATGCTAGATCAGTGTTTCCCAAACTTTTTTTTTTTCTGGGGACCCATATTTTAAAAGTCACAAACCTTCGCGACCCAAGCCTATAGACATTATTCGTAAAACTTTCGGGAAACATGATGTAAGACAAAAAAAAAATCTTCGTCGTGACCCACCTGAGGGTCACAACCCAGTGTTTGGACGCAAAACTAAAGTTTGTTTCCATATGAAAAAAAAATTCTACGTTTCATATCGGGAGAGAAGGGATAACATGCACAGTTGCCGTCAATTTTTCAGTAAATATTAAGTTTTACTTGAGTTTGAGTTTGACACACACCCCCGCCTTAGTGACTCCGCCCCTTTATTAACTACACCTCCCATAATCCCCTGTTCTCTGCAGTGACGTTTTATTGGCCGTTTTTGTTCAATGAAAGACATTATTGGAGCGTTCTGCTTTAATAGGTTGATCAATACAATCAGAGAGAGAAAGAGGAGGAGGAGGAGGAGGAGTAGAAGGAGGAGGAAGGAGAAACGTGTATGAGGAGTTCCCCAGTCATTCGATGTAACTGAGATTATGAGATTTAGTTTGTTTTATTAGTTTGGATTCAGACTAAAGTGAGACTGAAGATCAGGATCAGACCTGCGTTTTTTTTTTTTGTCAGGATGAAGGTCCAGGGGGAGGTTATGTCCGCGTGAAGTACTCGGCCAACAAAAAAAAAAAAAATTGTGCGTGTGTATTTACAGTGCAATTGATTGTGTATTGACGAGGCGGCAGCGGTGATTTATAGCTACTGGTCTCGGGGGAATCACGTCTTCATACCAGGACTCGTCCCCCACGTCGCAGATATAAGTGCGTATGGATTACACCCACTCCATATGGGTCGTTCAGCACAGTTCACTCTGCATGACTGCACACACACACACACATATTAAAACCTACAGACGACAGTTTAATCACAACATAAAAATGACATTTTTTAAGTTTTTTAAATTTTTTACATTTTTAAAATTTTTAAAATTTTTTGTATTTATATATTAGTAAATTATTATATTAGTAAATTATTATGAGAGAGTACACACGCTTAGCGAGAATTGCAATATAATGAAGTTTTTAGTGTAATTATTTATGGAAACAGAAAATGTCAGTTAGCGTGTGAAGAAATCTAAAAAATGAAAATATTTAAAAAAAGTATTTTGTTGTCAAGTTCACTGTCGTCACAGAGCAGCAAAGAAATTTAAAAATTAGAATTTTTTTTATGGAAAATAATTCACAAAAGTATAACTTTTTTTCAACTCCTGACCTCATTTAAGAAATGAAAAAAAAAAAAAATCTCATGTTTTAGGAAAGATGTTTTTATGTCATTTCCACTGCTTCTCTCTGCTAATGTGATCAAAGTTGTGTAAAACTTTGATTTCCTGACGTCGACGTGTCAGAGGTCGACAGCTTTACACACGTTCTGAATTGAACACAAATCATTTGTATTGTTTTTAAGATCAAATGTTGTGAAACTGTTCAAGGTTTTGGGCATAAAATGTGATTAATCACAGAAAGTCATGGGATTAATTGTGATTAAAAATAATTGTATTGCATGCATTTATATCTATGTGCTGAGGGCTTAAGTTTCCATTACCTAAACCCTGACCTGAGTAATAATCCCAGCTCCAAAATCATCCCTACACACACACACACGCTCTGGTCAGCGCGGTCGTTGCTTCACGTTGTCACACGGCTCTGGTCTGACCTGTAACTGAGTGTGTCTGACTCTCGACTCAGTGCGAGCTTCATTTTTAACTCCATTGATGTCAATCTGTATGCAGAAGTCTGAGGATTTATCTTTGCTGCATTTTACATATGGTAAAAGTTGGCCTGATGTCAGCATTCCATCTTTTTGATGACACTGTTTACCTCCCCCCCCCCCCCCCCCCCCCCTCCTCCCGCTGCTCTCTCCACTGTAATAAACAATAACTGGGCATTAATCTCACAGCCTGCTGCCTTAATAAATAATATCCACCCATTCATCAACTTAAACTATTCACAATCAATGCGGCTCTTCATAGAAAACCCACCTAATAAATAGTGGTGCGTCCGCTGAGGCGTGAACTTATAGACCGGTCGGCTGATAAATGAACCCACCCCCGCGGCCAGACGCCTTTTATGTGAAAAACTGCAAGTGAGAATTTTTTGCCGATTTTAAATTACACATTTTTACTCTTATTACTAGACGACGTGTATGTGTTTGTTTGTGACAGTTTTGTCTCATTGATGTCACAACGAGCGTCACTTTATTTCCTTAAAGTGAGTAAAAAGTGTTGTTTGTCACACAGAGAACACAGTCCTTTAGAAGCAGTTAAAGTGTGTGTGGTATGTATGTATGTATGTACGTACATATATACATGTATGCATGTATGTACGTGCATATGTATGGTATGTACGTACATATATACATGTATGTATGTATGTACGTACATATATACATGTATGTATGTATGTACGTACATATATACATGTATGCATGTATGTACGTGCATATATACATGTATGCATGTATGTATGTATGTACGTACTGTACATATATACATAAATGTATGTATGTATGTATATATATACAGTATGTATGTATGTATGCATGTATGCCAGACTCTACATCCCATAGACTTGTTGTAGCCTCATTGTTCTAGCGATATGTTCCCTCAGGATCAGTGGTTCTTAACCTTGTTGGAGGTACTGAACCTCACCAAACCCATGGTCATCACGAATCATATGAGTCGTCTTGGTGAGTGTCTTGTCCTCTGCCGAACCCCTGAGTCTGACTCACCGAACCCCTGGGGTTCGATATGTCCATTTCTGTGGTTAAAATTCACGAAAAATATACTTTTTTTACACCAACTTTTTCCAGAACAAATCTCCAAAAATAAAAGTTTCTCAAAAATGACTAAAAATACACTAATTTGCCTTCAAATACTTAGCTATGTCCAAAAATAGGGCAGGACTCAGCTGTTCATCTACTACTGTATATGTATGTAAATACATAGTGCATTTTTAGTGCATTCTCTATATATATGTATATATCTTTAATATATATAAAAATGTACATAATGTTTATTAATGTAAATATATTAATATATATATAACTATATATGTGTATGTGTATATGTATATATATATATTTATATATTTATTTATATATGTACATATATGTTTACAAATATGTTGTAATTCTGTTCTTCTCTGTAATTGTGTGGTCCTTCCGAGCCACCATGTTTTCTGATCTTAAAGCTTAAACCCTTAATTGAGATATATTTTTATTGGGAAACTGCCGCGCACACACACACTTACACACACTTCCAGCACCTGCAGGAACAGAATAAAAAACTAATTTAAGCCACTTTAAAAAATGCCCAGCCGATACCGTCCGTAGCTGCCGAAGTCAGCGTGTCACCGTGGGAATATCTTCACCTCCGTTACGCTACGCGCAAATTTTCCTTCCGATTCTATTGGAAAGCCGTGATTTATAAAGCATTCGCGCTCCTCGCCAGAGACCGTGGAGAATAGAAGTAATTTAAGCTGTGGCTGAAGAAGTTCCTCACAAGTCTGGAAATAACAATGTTCCCTTCACTGATGAGGCAGCTGTGGACCAGCGTCCACTGTGGACCAGCGTCCACTGTGGACCAGCAAATCGGTCGTTTTTATTTTTAGATCAGTGGTTCTCAGACTTTTTAGACCAGGGCTGTCAAACTCCTTTCCACCAGGGGGCCACATCAGCAATACTGTTCCCCTTGAAGGGCCGGTTGTAACTGGAAGAATGTATAGATCGGGGGTTCCCAACCCCCGGTCCACGGACCAGTACCAGTCCAAAAGTAATTTGTCCAAAAGTAAATCCATTTGCTTCATTTATTTAAAGAGAATCTGGCGATACTTTAAAATACCAGGTCTTTCAGACTCTGATCCTAACAGAGACTAAGAGATTTTAGTTTTATTTTTGGGTTAAAATGGGTTAAATTTAATGATCTTTCTACCAGTCCGTAGTAACGGCTGGTACTGGCTGACCAGTCCTTGGAACAAAAAAGGTCAGGGACCGCTGGTATAGAGGTAACTACTCCATAACAGACTAAAATCTGCAATTGATTATTATTTGATTGATTATAAAAACTTTTAATTTCTTAGGTTGATCAACTCTGCTGCATGGACTTTACTAAAGGCTTTTTAAGCTCCTGCCGGCCACACAAAACGGCATGGCGGGCCGCATTTGGTCCCCAAGCCTTGAGCTTGACTTGTGTGATTTATACTCTATACCACCTGAGAAAACATGGAGCTGTCTGAGCAACACCATGATGAGCAACATTAGCATATAGCAGCGTAGTAGCTGTAGCATAGTAGCTGTAGCTACGACACCCTGTTAGCTTCCACCACACAGGAGATAAATGTTGATAAAGATTTAAAGTTTATGTTTAAATTGTGTATTAATTTCCAATGATGTATTCAATGGAAAATGTGAAAGTGAAAATATGATTTTTTTTCCCGCGTACCACTAGAGAGCGCTACCTTACCACCAGTGGTTCGCGTACCGCAGTTTGAGAACCACTGTTTTAGGTTTATTCCTAGTTTACCTGAACTTGACTACAGATTTGGCTGTTGTTAGTTTGGTGTGAACGGCTCACGTGTAAATGTCAATATATTTCTTTTGAGAAATATATATCGACTCGTTGGTGGTGAAAAAAGAAAAAATTTGATTTAAAAAAAAAAATCATAACATTAGTTTGAACAAACACAGTGGAATGTTGATGTTCACTGATACACAATGAACAAAGTGTGAGTGTGTGTGTGTGTGAGTCCAGATGACCTATGACCTAGTTCCGATCGAGCCTGTAAAAAAAAAAAAAAACAGTACAGATGCAAATCAATAATTTAATATACAGTATGTAAATATATTGGGTGCTTTCTTATTATATTTGTTATGTAACAGTTTGGCTTTTAAATTTTTGGTTCTTTTATGTGACATATAAATAGAAAATATTGTTTAGCAGTTTGATGTATGTACATATATATATGTATATATATACACATATATTTATATATTTACTGTATTATATATATATTTATATACTGTATTACACTACATTTAGCAGACGCTTTCATCCAAAGAGACTTACAATTATATATGCTGCATACATAGATATATTTATATACTTATTCTGTAAATATATATTTATATATCTACTGTATCAATACATATAATAACTCACAGAGGATTATGTCTCACCCGTCTCTCTCCCGTCCCTCCCTCAGACCGTACCAGTGCGGCCACTGCTCCCAGTCCTTCTCGCAGCCGTCAGAGTTGAGGAACCACGTGGTGACGCACTCCAGCGACCGACCCTTCAAATGTGGGTACTGCGGCCGGGCGTTCGCCGGAGCGACGACGCTCAACAACCACATCCGCACACACACCGGAGAGAAGCCGTTCAAGTAAGTAACAGTGAGTACCCCCCAACTACCTGCCCCACCCGTACCCTACAGCCGCCTGACTCCATCCTGTAGACCTGATCCATCCATTCTGCATCAGTTGAGGGTCACGGCCCGATATCGTCCAATACCGATATCTGCAGCCGTTTTTTTTCCCCCCAAACTGCGGTAAACGTCTCGGGACCCCTTATATCGATTTCAGCCTATTAGCGACAGCCTATCAGTCGAAAAAAAACGATAACGATTCTTATTGATGTTACATAATTATGCAAATTTCAGACTAGTAATATCGGTCAGTTGATATTATCGGACAGAAAACTCCCATTCGATATTTTTCTTAGCATTTTCAGTTAATAAAAAGAACGAGGAAAAGAAAATATTTGCAGTAGAGTAGGGAGCTGTTTTGTGTATTTTAAATTATATTTACATACTGTATATGTACTCTGATATGTAGTATTTACCCCAAAATATTTTTTTATAATTAATTTTTATATAATTTCCTGTTATTTTTTCCCCATTAATTTCTATCAGAAAACGTGTTTTGTTTGACAGACAGCTACCAGACACCATGCTGTAAATGTTTGTTAGCAAACAGCTGATGAGACGCTGAAGTCTTCTAGCGTCTCATTGGTCAGATTGGACAGAGAAGATCCCAGAGCTGTGGTAACTGTTGAGCGTGGGCAGACGAACACCGGCCCGGATGAACTTCACACACTCTGATGTGAAGCCCGTGAATCAATGGAGATGACGGGGAGAATAATGCGGTGTGATGCGGGCACTAACTGAACTCACGGGGTCAGAGGCAGAGAGGGGAGGAGAGGAGAGGAGAGGAGAGGAGAGGACAGGAGAGGACACGAGAGGGGAGGAGGGGAGGGGACAGGAGGAGAAGAGAGGAGAGGAGAGGAGAGGAGAGGAGAGGAGAAGGCAGGAGAGGAGAGGAGAGGACAGGACAGGAGAGGACACGAGAGGGGAGGAGAGGAGAGGACAGGAGAGGGGAGGAGAACAGAGGAGAGGAGAGGAGAGGAAAGGGGACTGGAGAAGAGGAGAGGAGAGGACAGGACAGGAGGAGAAGAGAGGAGAGGGGAGGAGAAGGGTGGAGAGGAGAGGAGAAGGGAGGAGAGGGGAGGAGAACAGAGGAGAGGAGAGGAGAGGAGAGGGGACTGGAAAAGAGGAGAGGAGAGGACAGGACAGGCCCGGACAGGAGAGGACACGAGAGGGGAGGAGAGGAGAGCCCGTAAATAAGAATCAGTGTTCATTACTGTTAAATGTGAAATGTTACTGAACCACAGATTTAAACGCCTCACCTAAATCATGATTGCGTTCAATTCTTGATTTTTTTTATTATTATTAGTTATTAATGGAAACTTTTTTTAAAAAATGTTTTTATTTTAGCTGCAATTCCACAATCCGATGGCAGCAGAGGACAAATTAATAAATAGGTTAAACTGTATAAAAACAAAGAAAAGAAAGAAAATGTGAAAATAAAATAAAAAAAAAAGTGAAGAAAAAAATAATTATTTAATAAAATTATTAGAAACATTAAAAATATAAATAATTTTTGGTAACGATATGAAATTGTTATTCTGTGACTGAAAGATTTGAAGTTTTTAGGGAAGCTGAAAACAAAGTTTAATTAAATAATAGTTTATGTCACGTTTTTTTGTTGTTGTCGTAACAGTGAGAATCCAGTCCGGTCTGACCCACCCCCCCCCACCCCAAAAAAAAAAACAAGCTCTGAGCTTTTCTCCTCTTACTTGTCTCTAACGAGTTTTTCCATTATTCATGAATCCTCAGAGGAAATATTCGGTTCCATCTCTTGTCAGAGTCGCTGTGACCTCCGACCTTTGAGATCGGCTAAAATCCCTGCCTTGTTCTCGTCCGTTGTAAAGTGTCCTCCGACGGGACGTCGTCAGCGTAACGTCCTCGTTGTCCATTTAGCACAGCGCTAATGAATCTCATTTCCATCCTTTCTCCTTGGTGACGACGACGACTTTAATTAGAAAGAAGACGAGGCCGCGCTGCAATTAGAGCTGCGTGAGACACTGTTGTCGACTCGTCAGCAACGGAGGACAATGAGGGGCGATCCCAGTGGACGAAAGGTCAGCGTCCAGGACGGGTAGGGTGACACAAAAAAAGAAAAAAAAGAAAAGAAAGTGAAAGTAGCAGCAGTAATGTGGTGTTTGAGTTGTGAGAAAACGTCCGGGACGAGCGAGAGAGAGAGAGAGAGAGAGAGAGAGGTGGAAACAAATTAACGATGTTACTAAGCAATCAGAGGAGTGTGGACCTGTCATCGATATGGGAGGTAAAGGCCAGGGCGAGTGGAGCGGGCAACAAAGGAAGGAGAGCCGACGAACAAGAGATCACAGCATAAAAAGTGCGGCGACGCGCACCGCTGAGAAATCCTCCGAGCAAATCAGCGTTGGTAATGAGCGATCGGAGAAACCCCTTCGCCCCCTCCAATCCACCCCCCCGAACCTTTTCATCAGCACTTCAGAGCCACGGCGGAGGCCGAGCGGGACAAAGACAATCACAGATGGCGTCAGAAATCTTTAGCCAGATCAATGGCCTCGGGGAGTTATCTCCGTTAGCGCGTCGCGGCGGATAGATTAAAGCTGCCACTGTCACTTTGTCAGGAGGAAAACGCTCAACTTTATTTTTCTACCCGGCCAAAGAATGTGTGAAGTCGGCAGCTTTTTCAGAGGCGTTGCTCGTCTGGAGCGATGCCACCGCGTTGCTCTCTGTTCGCTGCTCAGCTGTGAAATCACTTCTTTGTGTCCAGAAAGTCCAACTGAAGCAGAGCACGCCTAAAAACTACGTACGCACCCTAAATTACTCCACGTTCTGTTTTATTGCCCTCAGAGGGCAACTGGTTTGTTGGCAATCAATGACGTAAGACACAGGACGAAAGCGACTACAACAAAATACCAGCAACGGAAAATCATGTAGCCACATCTGAGACACAGAAACAGGAAGTTCCCCTGGTGGCAACATACCGTCCTACCGTATTTTCCTGACTATAAGTCGCACTTTTTGTTTTTCATCTTTTGTCAGTGTGTAGGACCTATACTCAGGTGCAACTTATACGTTAAAATATATAATTGTGCATGTTTATTTTCACACTGACAGCCACTAGAGGGCACTCTAGGATTGTGTACCAGTATCTGCTGGGGGGGAGGGAGGTAGGGGGGATGAGTTCTGGTGTCCGCGGTGCTGGAAAAGTCAGAGTGACAGGAGAACTTCAGAGGAGCTTTGATGTGGAGGTTGTCGTGTTGTGGTTTTTTAAATCTACAGAAAGCTTTCACCTCCAGGCCAGAGGAGCTGAGCAGCAGCAGACGTCTGCTTTTATTCTCCTCCTTCTCCTCCTTCTCCTCCTTCTCCTCCTTCTCCTTCTCCTTCTTCTTCTTCTTCTTCTCCTTCTTCTTCTCCTCCTTCTCCTTCTCCTTCTCCTCCTTCTCCTCCTTCTCCTTCTTCTTCTTCTTCTTCTCCTTCTTCTTCTCCTCCTTCTCCTTCTCCTTCTCCTCCTTCTCCTTCTTCTCCTCCTTTTCCTCCTTCTCCTCCTTCTCCTTCTCCTCGTTCTCCTCCTTCTCCTCCTTCTTCTTCTTCTCCTTCTTTTTCTCCTCCTTCTCCTCCTTCTTCTTCTTCTCCTTCTTCTCCTCCTTCTCCTCCTTCTCCTTCTTCTCCTCCTTCTCCTTCTTCTCCTCCTTCTGCTGCTGCTCTAATAGAATTTACACATCAGTCAGAGCTGAGGACCGTCGTTTACTCTGGGCTTCCCACACGTTCAACTCAAAAAGAAAAAATCTGCAGCTCAGCTCGTCAACTTAGAACAAAGTCAGATGTTCCATGATGTCTGGGTTTTGTCTGAAAGGTCCACGTCAGACGTGACAATCTCTCCTCATATATTTAACATGTCAAATATATAACTAATATATTGAATATGTCGTGTTCCCACCGTGACTGAACGAACACGTAAAAACCCGACAGAGGAGTTGATTCACTTTAACACCAACGGCATCACAGCAAGTATTTGCATTAAATAGTATTTGCAGTATATATTTCAATGCAATATTTGCAAAGTAGTATTTGCAGTAAATATTTCCATGCAGTTTTTGTAGTAAATATTTCAAGCAATAGGCTAAAACCAGGTGAATCCAAAAAAAGGTCAGTAGAGGTACTGCACAGTTTTATATATATATATATATATATATATATATACATATATATATATACCTACATATATACACATATACTTGTATATGTGCCTGTGTGTCCGTGTTTAAAGGTGTTTGACGAGCAGAGAGGTTTCGTCTGTAGGCACTGGAGATGAGACTGGTTAATGGAATCTATCTGTCCTTTATAGTCTAACACACACGCACACACACACACACACTTGTCTTCTCACTTTAATATCCAGTGACTTTAGAGTGTGAGGCCCAGCAGAGCAGAACAGTGTAATTGTTACCTTGATCTTTACAACACACACACATACACACGTGTGTGTGTGTTTCTGTCTGTCTCTGTATTGTATGTTCGATCCACTGACTCCCATGGAGACGATTATAAACAGTTCCACAGTCAGCCACCGACGTCACTGTTTTCCTTCTTTCTGTTCACGTCGTCCTGTCATTAACGTCATCATCTGTGTGCAATGAAAAATCACCTTCTTTCTATTGTTGTCTCTTATTGTTGCTGACCGTGTCTTTCTGTGTGTGTCCCAGGTGCGAGCGTTGTGACCGCAGCTTCACACAGGCCACGCAGCTGAGTCGCCATCAGCGACTTCCCAACGAGTGCAAACCGGTCAATGAAAGCAGCGAGTCCATCGAGGTGGATTAACGTCGAGCAGCGGAGACGCATCCACATTACGACAGATTAGTCTGAGGGTTCAGCGACGCGACGGTCCACGTTGTTGCAGCTCAGGCTACAGCCACACTACAGTTGTACTACAGTTATACTACAGTCGCATTATACTACAGTCGCACAGTTATACTACAGTCGCACTACAGTTATACTACAGTCGCACTACAGTTATACTACAGTCGCACTACAGTTATACTACAGTCGCACTACAGTCACGCTGCAGTCGCATTACAGTCACGCTACAGCCCCACTATAGTCGCACTACAGCCACACTGCAGTTGTACTACAGTCGCACTACAGCCACAGTACAGTCACGCTACAGTCGCAGTACAGTCACGCTACAGTCGCAGTACAGTCACAGTACAGTTCCACTACAGTCACAGTACAGTTGCACTACAGCTGCACAACAGTCACATTACAGCCAGTTCTGACTTGACAACATACAGTAGGAATGTAGCAGAGAGGTTTTTTATGGTCCAGTAACCATCGTCACAACCGGTCTGGACCAGTTAGTCATAATATCATATTGTACTGGGAGTCTAAAAGTTCCAAGACAATTTTAAGAACTTTATATTTAAAAAAAAAAATCTATAATGTATTCAATCATTTCAACTCTTCTTCAGTGTTGTTTCCATCAAAAATTAGATTTTAAATAGAATTCCATTCCTTTAAATTATTATCAATTAATTAAATTAATTTTAAAAAAATTTCAATTTTGGAAAAATAAACATATTTTTTCAAAATTGAAGTGAATAATTTAAAAGAAAGTTAGAAAAGTTTGTCATTTCTACATAAACACACAACTGAATTTCTCCAACAGATTTAACCAGATTTTTTTTTTTCAAAAATTTAATATTTTACAAATGTTACATTTTGAAAAAAAATCTGATTAAATTATATTTCAAACCGCGGGTTGTGTGGCTGTAGCCTGGCCTCGTCTCAGCGTGGACGAAAACACACAGTGAACCTGTCAACAGTTCCAGTGCCCTGGGCCTTGAGCGTGAGCCGGAACGTTCTCCGATGACACCGGTGTTCTCAGAAAAACCTGTTTTAATCTGGATGTTTACTGACTTATCTTCCCGACTGAAGAACTGACAGAGGACTGGAGTCAAGACTGGAGACGTCCAAACCCCAAACCAAAGATCCTTTCTTCTCCAGCAGGAGCAGGAACTCCACGACG